ATCTTTCTATCTTCTGATATATTCTTCAATTTATTTCTTCAGAGATTTCAAGTTTTTTTTCTAACAGATCTTTCACTTGCTTGGATAGAGTCACACCAAGGTACTTCATGTTATTAGTGTGTGAAGGGTGCAGGGTGAGGGCTGAAGGGCATAGTTTCTCTAATTTCTTTCTCAACCCTTTTGTGTTTCATATGCAGGAAGGCTACTGATTTTTTTTGGAGTTAATTTTGTATCCAGCCACTTTGGTGAAGGTGTTTATTAGCTGAAGGAGATCTCTGGTTGAATTTTTGGGGTCACTCATGTATACTTTAATATCATCTACAAGCAGTGATACTTTGACTTCTTCCTTTCCAATTTGTATCCTCTTGATCTCCTTTACTTGTCTTATTGCTCTACCTGGGACTTCAAGTACTATCTTGAAGTGATATGGAGAGAGTGGGCAGCCTTGTCTTGTCCTTGATTTCAGTGGGATTCATTTAGGTTTTTCTCCATTGAGTTTGATGTTGGCTATAGGCTTGCTGTATATTGTCTTTACTATGTTTAGGTATGTGCCTTGTATCCCTGATCTCTCCAACATTTTAAAGGTGAATGGGTGTTGGACTTTATCAAATGCTTTTTCTGTATCTAAGGAGATGATCATGTGGTTTTTCTCCTTCAGTTTGTTTATATGGTGGATTACCTTGATGGATTTCTGTATATTGAACAACCCCTGCATGCCTCGGATGAAGCCTACTTGGTCATGGTGGATGGTATCTTTTATGTGTTCTTGGATTAGGTTTTCGAGTATTTTATTGAGTATTTTTGCATCAATGTTCATAAGAGAGATAGGTCTGAAGTTCTCTTTTTTTTTTTTGTTTGGTCTTTGTGTGGTTTAGGTATCAAGGTGACTGTGGCTTCATAGAATGAGTTTGTTAATGTTCCTTCTGTTTCTATTTTATGGAATAGTTTGAAGAGAATTGGAGTTAGCTCTTCTTTGAAGGTCTGGTAGAACTCTTCACTGGCACCATCTGGCCCTGGGGTTTTTTTGGAAGTGAGACTTTTGATGAATGCTTCAGTTTCCTTGGGAGATACAGGACTATTTAATCTATTTACCTGACTTGATTTAATTTTGGTAACTAGAATCTATCAAGATAATTGTCCATTTCATTTAGATTTTCAAATTTTGTGGCATATAGGGTTTTGTTAAGACCTAAAGATTGTTTGGATTCCTTCAATTCCTGTTGTTATGTCCCGCTTTTCATTTCTGATTTTGCTGATTTGGATAGTTTCTCTCTGCCTTTTAGTTAGTTTGGCTAAGGGTTTGTCTATCTTGTTGATTGTCTCAAAAAAAAAAAAAACAGCCCTTGGTCTCATTGATTGTTTGAATTGCTTTCTTTGTTTCTAATTAATTGATTTAAACTCTGAATTTGATTATTTCCAATCAATATTTCCATGCTAATCTTCTCTGTATCATTCCAGTTTTAGTATATCTGTTCCCGAAGGGAGCACTCATCCTCCCTCTTTCTCTTGCAATTCCCCTAGTGTTCTTCTTCCCCACTTGCCTCAAATTCACAATCCCTTATTTGTAAATTATTATTATTAAATATATGTATGCACGCATGAATGTATGTATGTATGTATGTATGTTTGTGTAGCCTAGTTTGTCCATTTAATTTTTATTTTTCTACTTAATGAATTTTTTAAATTTTTATTTTATTTTTATTAATTATACTTTATCCACCCTGCATCCCCCCATAACCCTCTCCCTCCTCCTCTTCCAGTCCCACCCTTTCTCTCCCTCTTACACATGCCCCTCCCCAAGTCCACCAATAAGGAAGGCCCTCCTCCCCTTCCCTCCTATCTAGTCCACCAGATCACATCAGGAGGGGCCGCATTGTCATCCTCCATGGCCCGTTAAGGCTGCCCTTCCCTCACGGGGAGGTGATCAAAGAGAAGGCCCATCAGACTATGCCAGAAGCAGTCCCTCCTCCCATCACCATGTAACCTACTTAGACACTAAACTGCCATGGACCACATCTGCTCAGGGGCCCTAGGCCATCTCCATGCCTGGTACTTGGTTGGGTATGAGTCTCTGGGAAGACCCCTGTGTTCAAATTTTCTGGTTCTGTTGCTCTCCTTGTGGGGTTCCCGTCCTCTCCAGATCCTACTATTTCCCACTTCTTACATAAGATTCCATACACTCTGCCCAACCATCGGCCATAAGTCTCAGTGTCCGCCCTGACAGTCCGCAGGGCAGAGCCCCCCAGAGGCCCTCCCTGGCAGACCTCTAGGCTGTTTCCTGCCTTCTTCTTCTGATGTCCATCCTCTTTCCCCTTCGGGATGCGGATTGAGCATTCTAGTCAGAGTCCTTCCTCTAGATCAGTTTCTCTATATGTACAGATTTTAGTAGGTTTATCCTATATTATAAGTCTGTATGAGTTAGTATATACCATGTGTGTCCTTCTGCTTCTGGGAAAGCTCACTCAGGATGATCCTTTCCAGGTCCCACCATTTGCCTGCAAATTTCATGATTTCCTTATTTTTCATTGCAGGGTAATATTCCATTGTGTAGATGTACCACAATTTCTGCATCCATTCTTCAGTTGAGGGGCATCTGGGCTGTTTCCAGCTTCTGGCTATTACAAATAAGGCTGCTACAAACATGGTTGAGCAAATGTCCTTATTGTGTATTTGAGCCTCTTTTGGATATATGCCTAGGAGTAGTATGGCTGGATCTTGAGGAAGTGCTATTCCTAGTTGTCTGAGAAAGCGCCAGATTGATTTCCAGAGTGGTTGTACCAGTTTACATTCCCACCAGCAATGGAGAAGGGTTCCCCTTTCTCCACAACCTCTCCAGCATGTGTTGTCACTTGAGTTTTTCATCTTGGCCATTCTGATGGGTGTAAGGTGAAATCTCAGGGTCGTTTTGATTTGCATTTCCCTGATCGCTAATGAGGTTGAGCATTTCTTTAAGTGTTTCTCTGCCATTCTATATTCCTCTACAGAGAATTCTCTGTTTAGCTCTGTTCCCCATTTTTTAATTGGATTACTTGGTTTGCTGCTTTTCAGCTTCTTTAGTTCTCTATATATACTGGATATGAGCCCTCTGTCAGATAAAGGGTTGTCCATTTTATTTTGCTTGTATGCATTTCTACTAAGTGTTGTCCACATGAGATAACGTATCCTGGGGCTGTAATACTGAGAAAACCGGTTCTTCCTCTCTCATTAGACATAGTTGTCTATAGCTCTTTATATCGGATGGAAGCTTGAGAATTTTCGTCATCCACCTTGATATGTTGACTGTTGTCACTATGGAGGTCTTGTTGAGTTAACCCCAGTGCTAGATTTCACAGGTGTATCTTCCATGTCATATAAAGCAGACAACACCTAGGAACAGATATTCTGGTCCTCTACTAACACTACCTTTTTTGGCTCTTTCTTGGGTCCGGATTTCTGAGTTTTAGGAGTTAGTGTTTCATAGCTGGTGTAACAATTGGGGCTGGGAATGCCATGTTGTGTTGCTCTCTCCATTTTGACAAGCTCATAGTCAATGTGAATCACAAAGCCTTTTCTTCTTGCCCTCTCTAAACAACAAGAGTTTAGGTGTATGTCTCTCACTAAGTTACTTTCCGAACCACTCTTCATCTTACTCCCCATCCCAGACAAAGGAAGGAACACAAATGGTTTGGAGAGTTGATGGATACACACCGGACCCCAGTCACAACACAGGATTGGTACACAGTCATCTAGCACAGTGAAGCCCAGTGGTCTCTGATTACCCAGGACACAAGGCGCACACACCATCTTCAGTTAAGCACTTCTTGCCTTGCCTCAAGCTGGGACACAGGTATAGCCAAGACCTGATGCTAGATTAATCCCCACATGTGTCTGGGACTTTGAATACAAGGGTGGAGGTTGGATAGTCTACTTTTCTGATCCATTGTGTCTTGGGAAGAAGATTCATGGCTTCCCTTGCTCCTGTTCTAACTGATAGAATCAGGGAAGCTTCCTGGAAGAGTGAATTTTTATTAAGAGCTAAGCTAGTCTAAGTCAAATCAGGCACCTAGGATACTTTATTATGGTCTCAAAGTACAATTGACATTCACTATGTACTCCTACAACATGTGAACTCCTACAAATATGTATTTGATAAGACATTTTTATGTGTGTGTCTATATGTTCGTATGTTACTGATGAAAAATAGATACCATGTGTCAAAATAGGCCCTGATCATTTTCACTGTGTTTTCAATACCTTTCAATTTTATACAGTTTGATTTATTACAAAATTCAGAATCCCTCAGTGAGTTCAATTGCATTCCCATTTTGTTTCCTCTCTACATAATAGCAAGGGTTAACACAGCATAGCTGTCACAAATAACAGCCTAATGTGTAGGTATATATAACAAGTAATGTTAGTAAAATATGCCAAATGTTTCTTTGTGGATTTTCCCTATATCCTTGTTGTTATTTTATGTTTCTCCTTCCTCCATCTGTAACTGACATCTTACCCCTATTTAATAAAAGCTCCCTCCCAGTTTCTCCTTTCATCTTAAAATCAGTTGTATCCTGCAGCGCCATTCTGGTGCTCTTAGTAAGGTCCTGTTTTACTTTCTTGAATTCTGTGGTTACTCTAGATCCTTATGTCTTAATAAGGATTTTATAATACAAACACTTGAGATTTGGAATAGTGAAACAGGGGGAGTCTGTTTATGACCTTTCAAAGCTGGGTATCAGCCGAGGATGACAAGATTTTCTGGCCAAGTGCAAAGAACAGTTCATAAATTATTAATGCACAAAATATATGACCCTTTCTCTTTTTTTGAATAACCAGGACAGTACGATCTTATATAACTTTATGCTTTGTTTATCTGTTGCCTGTGTTTGCCTTTTTTTCAACAGTAACTGATAATTTGTAAAGAGGTTTACTTCGCACTGAGTATACAGAGGGAAATTGTTGACAGATGCAGGGAGACAAGATGGGGAACAGGGACACAGTGTCATTGCTGAGGAAATCTGGAATTAGAAAATATTCTTTTTCACTACTCGGCCATGATATCGATTACAGAAATCTTCACCTTTGCAGCAAAAGGTAGATATCTTCACTCTTCCGTAATACATGTTTTCAGCCAAACACGCATTAGAGCAGTCCAGTTCAGTATGGTTGTGGACCCACCCACCTAAAAGATAGAAGTGTTTATACTTAGTGTCCACACAACCCTTGGCATGCACAGGAAGGGGCTCTCTCCCCCAGTACCAATCCCGTTTTTCAGAACAGGGACACATCCCCCCTCTTCAGACCAGCTCAAGCACATTACCTTCATCCAAGAACATGAAGAAATTCCTGGTTCTGCATCCAGGGCTGTATCTCGTGGTGCAGTTGCTCTTGCCTGACAAACAATGGCCCCTTTTAAAATTGTTGCAGACCATGCACACTGTAGTTTTAGCTAGGGGAAAGCAGATATAAAAGGTGAGTAATGGGTCAAAGTGACCAAGGATGCTGGAGGACTAAGGAATTCAGAGACAAAGCATAACCCCCAGGAATTTTCCTAATACAACCTCAGGTGCTGATGTGTTGCATCAGATTGAGTCACGGCTTCCTTAAGAAGCTTAGGCTCTTTGAGGAAGAAGATGGATTGTGTTTTCCTTCTGCATCGGCGTTACCTTGCTTAATATTATACATTCCAAGTCTAGCTCTTTTCCAGCATAGTTTTTTTTTAACAGCTGAATAATATTCAATATTATATACGTACCACAATTTTATTATATCTAGAAAGGAGACAAAGAAAGGCTAGGATTAGTTAATGAGGGAGAACAGAATTTTTTAAAGGACTTCAGTTTTTTTTCTAGTTTCAACTCTGTCATATTTTTTGAGGAGATTAAGTCCATAAAAATGTTATTGATAGTGAAATTGTAAGACCCTAAGCAAAGCTCCCTGGATTTAGAATGTCCAACCTAATGTAAAAATGTTTTATGAGAACCACACAGTTTGGGACTGGGAAAGTGTTCGACTGGCTAGCATTACCTAGCTATGTGATGTTTTTAATCTGTGCATTCAGTTACAATAAAGTGATTAAAAAACTTAAAAAAAAAAGAAGCTAAGGGTCTGACACCACCGCTTTGACTGCATATCAGATAAAATGGTAGGCATCCCCATATATACAGTGTCATTGTGCTAGGAACTATAAAAGTACCTATGTAATCTGACACCAAAAGTTCCTTTTCAAATGCATGAGAGTAGTAATTATAACATCATGGTCCTAACACTAAAATAGATATGCAGATCAATGGAACAGAATAAATGGTCAAATTATAAGACTACAAGCACTTGATTTTTGTCAAGATGCCAATAAGAGAGCATCTTCAACAAATGATGCTGAGAAAAACCAGATACCTATATGTGGAAGAATGAACTAGATCATTATCTCTCACCCTACATAGACATCAACTCTAAATTAAGCAAAGACCCTCAATGTGAAATTCAGAAACTGCTAGAATAAAAACTAGCAAATTCACTTTGAGAATAGGCATAGGTCAGAAGTTCCTGAATAGGGCTCCAATTCTTAGAGCAATAAGGTCAATACTCCACAAATGGGACATAGGCAAGATAAAAAGATAAAGGGAGAATAAGCCAAGACAGGGAATTGGCTCTTCTCCCAGGAGCTGAACTGATTTTTACCACTGAAAAAGGAAGAGCGTTCAGACTCCATGGCCACAGACACAATATGTGTTAACACTGAAATACGTCTTAACACAGATAATGAACAAATTGTGTTCACTTAGTGCCAGATGATAAATTCTAAGAGACACCTCGATCAAAGTTATTAAGGACAGTAATTAGGTTGTTCTTCCTTAGGGCAATGGTGACATAAACCAGGACTTTCTAGTGCATTCACACCCCGGAAACCCCTCAGCATCTTAATGGTGCTCCTGATAAATTCACCTCCCAACTTTGTTTATTGAGAAGAATATTTAAACTTTATTATGAATTATATTCTTTGGGTGGCGTCATAAAAAGGGAGGTGGCTTCTCAGCACCATTAGAGCTGTAACTGCAGAGCTGTTCCTATGGTAGTGTAAACTAGCCACATCTCTTCTTTGATAAGCCTACACAGGCTTGGTCATCTTACCAGGCATGGCTCTCTCTCTCTCTCTCTCTCTCTCTTTCTCTCTCTCCTGGAAAGAGAGTAATGCTGCTCACAGTAATTGTCATGTACCCTCTTTTAATATTTTTAATAAATGAACCTTTGTTTTATTTTTGGTTTGTCATGGAATTAGTTTCTCCCAAGCCATCGATCCTGGCCGTGCCTTGGTAGCAGTCTCTGAGGCATATCCCCAGGCAGCTGCTGATTTACTTTACAGCTGTGCTCCTATCACTGGTGACAGGAAATCATGAAGTTGAAAAGCTAACACTGCAAAGAAAGTTGTCAGTTAAATGAAGAACAAAGAAGCAGCCTATAGAATGAATAAAAGCTTTGCCAGCTATACATTGGACAGAGGATTGGTATCTAAAATATAAAAGAAAAAACCCTGAGAAATTCAATAAGAAAACAAACATCCCAGCTTTCCCCCCATTGGCACTGAATAGTTCTCTCTCAAAAGAAGAATATAAAGGTATGATAAGTATTTTTTAAATCAAATTCAACCTTCCTATCCACAAGGAAATTAAAAATAAAAACTACTTTATGATTTTATCTCTCACCAGCCAAGAGAAATATGGAAGTAAATGACAACAAATGCTAACGTGGGATTTGGGCAAAGGGAAACCCTTTTTCTCTCATGAAGATGTAAACTGGTACAGCTATGTGGAAATCAGTATACAAGTTTTTCCAAAAAAATCTATAAACATAAGTAACATACGGTTCAGTCTTATAATTTGCAGAATATAACCGTCCAAAATATATCCCACTGTAGAAATATTGGCACTTTTATATTTATTGCTAATCTATTCAGAATAGCTAAGAAACAGAATCAGCCTAGCTATCCATAAATTGGTGAATGAATGGCAATGTGGTTTAGATACACAATGGATTTTACACATTTGCAAGGCTAGATGGAATTTTCAAGAAAACTAAAAAATATTGTAATAATTGGAATAACTGATTTCTGCAAAGAGAAATCATGCTTTCTCTCTTGTGTATATCTTAGCTTTGAATTTTCAGATTTGTGTCTTTAATCTTCAGGGTTTGTAGAGGCCAGGGAAAATAGAAAGGGACTCCTGGGTAGCAGGGTGGGGTCCATGGAGGAGAGACAGAACATATGTGATATGAAAGTAGAGGAGGGAAATACTGGGGGTGGAGAGGTTCAAACAGAGATTGGAGTAGAAGGATAGTTAATTAAAACTAATCATGTATTAGCAAATCCTTATGGAAACCCACTTGTTTGTAAGCAAGCTGAAAATATAATAATAAAAAGGTAGTTTAAACACAAGTACAATGCTTCCAGAGGATATAAGTTGTTAACAAGAGAATCCCGGTGCCAGGAGTGGAATGCCTCCTTTAAGCTATTGGTCAGGGAGATCCCAGCGATCCTCCAAACAGCATGGGCTATTACTATCACTCGCTTACCCATCAGAGCTGCACGGGAAACCTTTATTGCTGAAGATACAACATGACTTATTTGTGGGACATAAATTAAACTGAAAAGTGACCTGAAAACTTACTTCTTTCTGGCTAATTTTCATAGTGCCAGAAATGTTCTGCATGATTCTGGGAGATAAAATCCATCAATTGTATTATCCGTTGCTGAACTCTACATGCTAAACTACTAACATGTCAGGCAAACATACTCAACAAAATATGCAACAAAACTTATGTGGGTAACAATTGCTTTTGATTAGATCTAATGACTGCTTCTCTAGAGGGACTTCATGCCTGGTACTATAAAGCTGGTCAAAATGCCATGTCTCAAAAGGCCATAGGCCTTAAGAGAGAACCTATTACTCTTTTCTTTTCTTGCTAAATGGACTCTTCAGAGTTCCCTCTAAGTATTTATGTATCTAGCCAAAGATTAGTGTTGGCTTCAACCTTGGCCAGAGAAGCTTCTCTCCACAGTGGTCAGTGGCTAATGTAGAGACCCATAACTACTCAGAGTGCTAAGAATAAGTGAATATTTGAGTGCTCAGCCCTACATGGGGTATCTACATCATACCTCCACCGCCTTGATGTTCAGGGGACAATGTGGAAGAGGAGTTAAAAAGAATGTAAGAAGAGCTGGAGGATGAGGAAAGTACTATGAAATGCTGTCTCCTGGATATGACATGTCCAGTGAACCCAGAATTCACAGCAGCTGTGTTAGACTTGACAATCTATATTCTATCATGGTCTGGGGGAAGGGATTATGAGGTCTCACTTCTCTGTGGGGAATCACTGTTAGTTAATGTGCTACAAGCCAGGGAGTCATTTTTCCCCCAATGATGTCGCATGTTCCAGTAAACAACCACACACTCATGCTTCTGCAAGAAAACCTAATTAAACTCCTTGGGTTCTTTAAAAAAGAGAGACCTGAAAGTCGGAAGAAGACTTGTTGTGAAGAGTGCTTTAGAGGGAGTGAGAAAGCAATAAAAGTAATGGGGTGATATGGCAAAAATAAAGTAGAATAAAGATAAAAAATAATAACACTTGTGGAGTTTCAGCCAGTGAGATGGTTCACAGGTACCTGATATCAAGCCTGATGACCTGAGCTCTATCCCTGGGACCTACTTGGAAAAGCAAGAGAATTGATTCCCCCAAATTCTCTGGTCTCCACACGTATGCCATAGCATGTGCTTGTATACACACACACACACACACACACACACACACACACACACACACATACATTAAATAAAAATGTAATAAAAAGTAAATTTCTTGAGGAATAAATGTTCTCCTGGAACCACAGAAGGGAGGCAAGCTCACAGTATTTCACAGCATACTCCTTTTCTCCCAATGGCATCTGATAATCAGATCTCCATGTTGAAAACAGTTTACTTGATATGAGAAACAGGCTTAAAAAAGCTTTTCAGTGATCTCCTTCCAACAGATAACTGTGTGAAGGATCTTCTACATCCATTGGCTGCTCCTGGCAAGTCAATGAGACAGACTCAAAGACATAGATGTACATGAACACAGAAACTTATTCTTTCCTAGAGAGTACCTGATCCCCCTCTGAAACCCTGGGAGAGACCAGACCCCTTACTCCAGCAAGAGAAGGGTAGATTCAACAGAAATATCTCCAGTTCTGTTGGGTCAGCTCATCCCCAAATCCTGACCTTGACCTTCTTCTGCTCCCAGTTACTATCCCAGTTATTCAGGCCATCATCCCAAGTCTGTTCCAGCTGTCTCCAGCCCCTGTTCTCATCCCTGTTTCAGTCTCCAAAGACTCATTCTCACCTTGGATAAACACCAGATAAAAAGCCCCAAACAGCAGGAGAAGGAGCAGGAGCTTGCCCAT